GGTTAAATTTAAACTTACTTAAGTAACTAAAAAAAAAAAAAAAACTAAAAAAGTAAATAAAATACTAATAGTTAAAATAGTTAATTATTGCTTATTACCACTGAAAACAGTGATTTTTAATTCGTTATTCACCCCTGCCAGTGATATACAGCTCTTACACAACTGTTATTGTGAAACAACTAATAACTGATCACGGATTTTCTCAAAAACGCATAACTATTACGCATAATAATTATAATAATCAAAAACCGGATATCAGTTATTTTGTTTTTTGACACAATATCTTACTCAATTAACACAAAATGGAACTCTGGCAGAAGTTATTCAGAGACAGCCCTCGCGTGTCAACATAAAAAAAAAAAATCGTATCTGTGTACACTGAGTGACAGATTCAGAAAAGTTAGATGGATAGGCTAAAAAGAGGTGTGTTAAGATGTACCTCACTTTTTCTTGGTGGAGTAGGGAAGATATTGAGGTGTTGTACACAGACTAATACCTAGTGATTCTTATCTTCTTTTTTTTTACGTTATAAACCATATTTGTAATGTTCTAATTTGTTTCTTTGCTAGAAGGAGCTGCGAGTCGTAATGACGATAAAAAGTTTAATAAGGTGGGCCTAGAATACATAGAAAGTTTTAAACAATTTTAATGTCATAGTTTCTAGTAACTTCGAGGTTCGGCAAAGATAATTAAGATAGATAAAAAAATAATTATTCAGTGTGTTTTAATTTCATCCAGTGTTTTGTTTTTATTGAAGTATTTCTAACTATTTTAGCTATCTCACATATTAAGTTACTTAACCCATCAAAAGTAGTTGTACAAGTAATTTTATTTTTATTGTAGTGAATCATTTGTAAACGTGGCTTACCACAATATTAAAGCTTGTAAAAAAGTTAAGGAAGATTTTGTTTGTTAAGCACAAAGATACACAGTGGCTATCTGTGCTGTGTCCACCACGAGTATCAAAACTTGGTTTTTCATGATGTTAAAAAAACACATAGGTTCAAGAAATCAATTTAACACAATAACGTGATACCCTGTAACCCGAACATTTTCTTCTTCAGGGGCAAACTAAGAATGGCTATACAAAACAAAGAGCAAGATAAAGTGAAGTTTGAGTGACATGATGCATGCTACCATGGAAATAAGAACCATTTTGAGTAGTTTTCAACGTAATGTTATAAGTGTTTCTCATTTCTGGTGCAATACTACCGGAAACTAAAATGTTAAGTGTAAAGAAGTTAGAGGTGTATTATTTTAAAAAAGGCCAAAATAAACTACAGTAAGTGTTAATATATTGTGGTTTTGTTATTTTAGAGCAAAGACACATTTAACTATCCACTGTGTCCACTTCAGGGAATCGAATTCCCGATTTTATCATTGTAAATCTGCAGACTTCTGCTGTCTCACTGGGAGACATTGAGAAAATAAAGTAAAAGTGAGGTATGAAGATTAATTAAAAAAGATATGTTAAACAGATATAATTAAAAAAATAACCCAAAAATTATCATAAATATGTAACAAGTATTAAAAAGATTAGGGGTAAAGATTGAGAATTCATACTACATAAAAAAAACTATATTTTTTGAGGGAAAGCAAACTAATAATCGAATATCACTGATTCCACGATCTAGATGTTTTCCAAAATATTGAACAGTATGTTACGTCTCCGTTTGTTAATTAACTTTCCGTAACTTCGTTCCGATGAAACTTTAGCGACACAAGTCCTTACTTAATAAAACTGGTTTATTCTTTCCGAATACAACTTTATGATACACTTATTTTTATTTTCAACAAACGTTCTATAACTAGCGCTAAAACAACGAACGTCAACAATACTTCTAACTGCATTTCAATTACTCACGATCT